CAGGCCTCGCTGCAGTACTTGGAGGGTGGGCGTGCAGGCCGGGTGCAGCCAGGGCCCAGGCACTGGCCCAGCCCCGCAGGATCCCGCGCGTCCGAGCGCTCAGGGTGGCCCCGGCGCTCCCGGTGCCGTGCCCGCTGCCGGTGCCGCTTGTAGCGCTCCTCCTTCTGCACCAGTTAGAACCAGTTAGTCCCAGTTAGAACCAGTAACCTTCCAGTAACCACCACCACAGCCCAGTAACCTCCCAGTGCCCTCCTAGCAGCTCCCGGTGCTGTGCCCACTGTTGGTGCCACTTGTAGCGCTCCTCCTTCTGCACCAGTTAGAACCAGTTAGCACCAGTTAGCACTGGTAACCACCATCATGGCCCAGAACCACCCAGAGCCCTCCCAGTAGTCCCCAGTGCCACAAGTGCTGCCAGAGACAATTGTATCAGCTCCACCTTCTACACCAGTGACCTCCAGCTAGTGCCAGTAAGCACCAGTAACCACCCAGTAACCACCCAGTCACCACCATCATAGCCCAGTAACCACCCAGAGCCCTCCCAGTAGCTCCCAGTGCCAATTGCACCACTCCTCCTTCCACACCAGTGACTCCCAGTTAGCACCAGTAAACACCACTCATAGCCCAGCAATCACCCGGAACCCTTCCAGTAGCTCCCAGTGCCCCCCACCTTCTTGTCCGACTTCTTCTCACGGCGTTTGACGTGCTTGACCTTGACGGCGCGCTTGCGCAGGACGGGGTCCAGGAACGGCGCGTCCTCGGCGTCACTGAGCCACGGCTGGCAGGATGGGGACACGTTGGGGACACGCCCTGACGCACCTCAGAGTGTGCCCCACAGGCGGGGGACATTTGGGGACACGTGTCTGTCCTGACATGGCCCAAATGGGGACATTTGGGGACACGCTTCAGAGCCTGGCCCATGTGCAGACATTTGGGGACACATCCCCCTGACATGACCCACAAGGGGACATTTGGGGACATTTGGGGACACATCCCCCTGACGCACCTCAGAGCCTGGCCCATGCAGGGGACATGCGGGGACACGTGGTCTGATGCGCCTTGGAGCATGCCCCACATTGGGGGGACATTTGGGGACTCGTGCCCACCCTGACATGGCCCATATGGGGACATTTGTTAACACATCCCTCTGACACAGCCCACACAGGGACATTTGGGGACACATCCCCCTGACATGGCCCACATGGGGACATTTGGGGATACAGCTCGAGCCTGGCCCATATGGGGACATTTGGGGACATGTCTGACACTCCTCAGAGTCTGGCCCATATGGAGACATTTGGGGACATCATCCCCCTGACATGCCTCAGAGCATGGCTGGTGTGGGGACATGCCCTGACATGCTAGGACACGCCTGGGAGCAGCACGGAGACACGCCCTGACATGCCAGGACATGCCTCGGAGCACGACGGAGACATGCAGAGACAATTTTGGGGTCCCAGGGCAGTCCAG